GTTTTAGAAGTTGATGGTACGAATAATAAATTACAACAATACGTCAATTAATTACGTGATCGATTTTTTGAAGGAGAATGTTTTTGGAGTGAATAAAATTATGAGATTCGTGAACATAAATCTGGCTTAACGTTTTGAATGCGTTTCCTTCAACGTTTTACAAAACAATTAAATTGCAACAATAATGTATTTGTGTTTGTTTTTAATCTGTAGCATTTGTATTTCGAGAATGTTTCAAACTCTTCTAAATTGTGAAACATAATGTGTTGATTCCATTAAAAAAAATATTTGCCCTGTGACTGAGCTCACTAATATTCATAATTGTAAATAAGTTCTGTTAATCAATGAAGGAAAGATATGTAAATGATATGCAAATTATTATGCAAATTAGCCCCGGCGCTATGCATTTTTTCTGGGGAGAACCCTGAAATGTACATGTTGTGAGGCTGTTATTAATGATATTTTTTTGTCAATTTAATGGATTTATTCATTTTTAGGTTCACGGTACTGGTAACATCTGCACAAATATGACACATACTCATACTGATTATGCACTGGTTTATGCACAGCTGGTGACATGACTTTATATATAATATGTGCTTCAGATACAGAAATACATCTACAGTGTCCAAGATTGGAGCTTGTACACTAGATATATTGTATTATGAATGTGAATAAATTTAATTTTTTTGACTTATCCAGGGCTTTTGTCAACTGGAGTCGAGCAGCATTCAATTTCATGCCTATGCAGCTCTGAGCTTGTTGTATTCAGTTTTTAGACGTTATAATAATAACAAAATGTATTCAAACTGTGTAGAAAGTTTTGCATTTCTAATTTGGAATTTGAAATGAAATAAAAATATTAAAAATAAAAATAACATATAAAATGCAATATATGTATGAAATAGTACCTGATCAGATAAAACCAAAATACCCATAAATTTATATGCCATGATGGTTAAATTACTTCAATTTTCAGGTCAGTATATCTAAAATGTCCCTGTAGAGATAGTATTGTGAAAATTGTTCTTGTGTATCTAAAAAAAAATTCTAAATTTGATGAAACTAGCAATTAAATGTCTTTAACAACATTTGATCAAGTTTTGATATTCAGTAATCTTTAAATTATGTCTATTTGATAATATTTGTACCTGGTTGGCTTTTCTGCAATTTTATCCAAAGTTCATGAATTGTACTAGCAACAATACAAGTGTTTTTGCAGTTTAGTATTGCCCATACCTGACTAATCAAATGTTGAACAGTCTCATAATTTATGTACATAACTAGCTTTACCATTATAACTGCTAAATGAAAATCTTCATGTCCTTGATGCAATTTTAATGTGGCTAAAATGTGTAAATCTGAAATTTGTTTCCCGTCGAGACCAGTTGAAGTTTAAAAAATGTTGAGATACATGTACTTGTGTGTATTTTGTCATACTGTAGGAGATTGCATGTGTATAGGATTTGCAGATTATGCATAAGTACCGGTAGTGACCTTTCGGGACAAGGAGCTAAAATAGTGACTTTGTACACATACATTGGGGGAGGAGAGAATGATAGTTGAGTGCCCTCCTTTAGCATTGGTTAGCATTTTTAGAGGACTCTGGGTTGCATTTGGTGCCATTTAGTATGTACAAATAACACAATAAATCTATGGCTTATTTTCACAATTACCGGGTACAGTATGTTTTGATGTTTTAAAGAAAGACAAATTTGTATTTCTATAAATTGCTTTTTTAATCCTATCATTGCCGCATCAAAAACACTATTTCTGGTTGCATCATTTAAAATCCAGTTTTGTCAGTGCTGTAGCAAAATGGCTCAGTCTCGCTCAGAGGACACACTGTCCCACACACCGCTTGGCTCAATTTTCGTGCAATTTGATGAAATCTTCACTACCGGTACTACAAAATGTTGTGATTTTGCAAAAATAAAATGTCTTTATAAAATGTCTCCCCAACTGATATACTGAAATAACAAAGTATGGGTTGTCCTTCACAAAATGATTTTTATGTTTTCACAATATACTTGGCTTCAAATTCTAAACCTATTCAACATTATGTCCCAAGAAAAAATGTTAATTCCAATCCCTGATAATGAAACGCCATTGACCTACTTTGTTTGAATCCTCATTTCTGGATTATAAACAAGAATAAATTAATGAAGTAATACCACAGTAATACTCTGGTATTACAGCAATGACATCATCAATGTTTCAATAAGGTTATTGGTAAATTCTAATTGGTAACAAATCGTACCAGCAATGCAGAATGTCCTACAAAATAATAAACACTGACAATATAATTGTTTACCTAATCTCTTTTGTTATAATACTGTGGAATACTTTATTTTCGCTTGGAATTTATTTTTGCTGAAGGGATGATTCCGTGAAAATAAAATCCAGCAAATATACTTTTTTTTTATATATTTCGTATTCAACTCATCAAAAATCAGTGAAAATAAATTCCATACAAAACACAAAAATAAAGTATTCCACAGTAAAGCTACACTCAGCTGACCTGTGGATGCATTTAATAATCTGCAATGTACTTTACCCATATGGCAACTTTTGATTTTACCATTTGTACTCTATTACTGTCACTTACATAAACGATGGAGGTGTGTCTATAGTCAAAATATGTTGTACAGTTGTGTATTCCAATAACCCAATACATGTATACAAAAAGTACAATTTTTTGTTTACATGAACTTCTTTTGAAAGAGTAATAGGGAAATATGGTCTTTTGTTTTATCTGTGGTCTAAATGTGTGTTTAACTGTCAGTCCTTGTTATTTAATTTAAGTTATTAATATTTTAATATATTTACATTGATTTGTAATGAAAGCAAACACAGATGATGCTTTCTGTACATTTGTAATAGAAGTTTTTTATTTTGATAATGACAATTATTGTTTGTCTATCAATTACATGATCACAATATTCAATTTATTGGTGCTACAGATGTAAAGTAGTTACCATGGTATTTATTGGTTGTACATGTAACTATGAGATTTGCGATTTCTTCCCACAATGCCTTGCTGTAATTGATGCCCATTCATCATTTTATATCCCAGCTGACACAACTGTTGCATTGAAATCTTCATCAGTAATCATACAACTGTATACAGGCTTAAACATGATCACACAATGTACTGTAGTAAATCAAATGCTGCCCAAATGCTGTGAATTAAATATAAATGGATAAAATGGTTTATGTAATAATTAATAGTCATTTCTAATTTTCTTATTTGCTTCCTTGTTTCATATATCTTACTTATTTTTATGTTGTACAATATTTTCTGGAATTTAGACTGGAAATGGAGCATTACCATTTTCCTTTGTATTGTCATCAATACCTTATACCATACTGTATTTGTAAATTAAGAGAAATTCTTGATTTAAAAAGATTAATTGTTAGTATTAGTCGAAAGATTTTGACAATGACTGGTCAATGCTGAGGGGAATTATTTTACATTTACCAAAGACATATTTCTGCTGTATTGTTTTCACTGTCACAATTTTTCAACAGTGTCAAAGTGAATTAATCCTTTTATTCTCTCTCAGTAACCCACTGTAGCTACAAGGGTATGTTTAACAAACTGTGGCCTCTATTTTAATCAAAGATGGTGATTTTATTATTGATCAAAGTATTGTGGTTGTCTTTTTGCTTCATTTTAAAATTTCGGATTAAGACCATCATCAGTTTAGTATAAACACCAAAGGAATTTGGGAAATTATCTTGTTTTTCAACAATTATATGGATAAAGAAATGTACCGGTATTACTTATAGATGATTAAGTATACCATATTGGCAAATTCGCTAATTTAAAAATTATTTTAACCATAGACACTTCTATTATTTACCCAGACTCTGTAACATTTTTTGTTTCTGTTTATTGACCATTACTGTTATTATTTGTAGGAAAAGCTTCGTTTGGTGACTGTGCTTGGTGCTGGTCTACTAGTGGGTACGGCGCTAGCTGTTATCATACCAGAAGGAGTTCATGCTCTGTATCAACACCGTCCAGGTAATCATTTATTACAACTTTTCCAAATTCAGTACATAAATGCTCAGAATTTCCCTATACAACTTGGATGCTAAGTCGTTACAGCGCTATCAGTGGTGGCCAAGAGGACATCAATTTGCCTTCCCCCCCATGCTGTTTCATGATGAAAACGTTGTAAATACAGCTAATATATTTGTTTATTTTTTCTGTATATATATTTCATTCATATTGACTTCCTACTTTCATGATCGGAACACAATTACCGGGGGTACTAAAAATACTAAACTATTGTAGTTGTGCACAGTAAGCATTCAAGCAATGAATGAATGCTGTTCACACTTTTACTGTACTATTGCCATGAATACATATGATAACTGCTTGCAGACTTCCAGCGGACATTGTATATCCCAACGCTTGAAACAATAGTGAAATAAAGGGTTGGGCAACTACTCTTGTTTTGGCCTTGAAGAATACTGCAAGCTTTAATTTTACAAATCATTTCAGCCGAATGTACATTGGTGGGCGGGTATCAACAGTAACTAGGCGGCTGTAATAATAGTACTAGTACTTAATGGAAGGGCCACCTATCTAAAACACATGGTGGAGAACACTTATACTGAGCACACATGTTAAAAAAAATCAAGTTTTACATATTAAACCATCTTGAACTATAAATGGAAGGACTGCTTCTAGCTAAGCCACTTGTTTATTATCACTGACAATTACCTGCACCATTGTTTAAATTAGAGATTTGTCTAATTTTGACAAAATGGGTATTTGCCATCTGCTGATCTGCCGATCTACCGATCTGCCGATCTACCCCCAGAAGTAAAATAACGATATTACCCACCAGGTACACAACAATATCTGGGGTTCTGGGTAATACCAGTAGAATAATCGGTTCCACTCAATTTTTTCGCACTGAAGCACAACAACTTTTTGAGAGTGATTGGCAGGTACATGGAAAGGTAGATGAGTATTGTTAGTAATTGGCAGTACGGTAACTAATAAACAAGTGGACTTACTGAGAGCATCCCTACTTTATGTCATCACTAGTCAGTTACTATTCTCATTGTCTGAGACAAACATGCCAATCAAAAATGTTTGACCCAGTTATTTCTACTGTATTTCTACTCCGAAATATGGTCAAATTAAAGTATTACACATGTATATAAGTTTTGTGAATATCTCCTTGAAGTTAACTACAAAACATCATTAAACCTTTGAGGGCCAACCAAATTTGGGTGAATTTGTTCACATTTTCTATGAATTTAACTGAATTCAATCTTAATTTTGGATCAAAAAAACAAAATATGAGATTGCTTGTTTTTGAGCAACATAATTGGCATTTTATGTGTAAACATTTTTTGTGGATGGTCCTGAAGCTGGCTTTGGCATTCAAAGGGTTATAATAAAGCCTTCAAACTTGGGAAAAATTTTAGATTCCAAACAAATTAAAAACTCGGTGTCTATCCTTGAAAGTACTAAACATGAGCAACATATTGAATTTGGAAACATTTAATAATAACACAACAATCAATTCAATAATGTTGAAAGACAGAAAGAAGTCTATACTGTAAGGACAACCAAATAAGTTTGAATGTCATGCTAAATACAATTATCTTAGAATGGAATTTTTCAATTTTTTGAAACCAAGACATCAAATAAAACAGTTTGATTTTTATTTATTTATTTTTGTGCTGTTTGCTCAAAATTTATTGTATTTTTATCTAGATCCCAAATGAGAATACTTTTTCAATAAATTGTTTATTAATATTATTATAATGTCACAGCTGCACATTGAACATTTATAACTATCCTAGCTTGTAATGTAACTAGAGGAAAATACATGTACGATATTTAAATAAATGTACATGTTTGTAATTTTGCTGCTTGCCTGGATATGACCCTAATGTTATTAATTTAATTACAAACAGGCAACCCCTTGAAAATGTGATATGCATAATAGCTAAAATCATATTTGAATTGTGTAATAGTGTAATTATTGATTGAATTGAATTCATCACTATACTTTGTGGAAATAACATCCATATTTTTACCAACTAAATTTAATTATATTTCAGTTTGAAAAATTCATCACTGTCAAAGCACTGGTATGATTGTTGTTTTACTTTATACTTGTAACACTATCATTATTCATGAGCACCCAGCCCAAGTTTGTTTTTGATCTGTGTCATTTAAAAAACACCTTAAAATGCCATGAATTAACTTACCAATCCGAGTGTGAGGATATACTATCCTTTAAATTAGTATCATCTTTGAATTAGCAAAATTACAAATTAAGCTAAAATAATATGTTAAAAAGAAAATGTTTTACAATAGTTACTGAAAACATCAAAACAGCTCTGTCTTCTTTTGATACCCTAAACTATCCAGTAGGAATTAATAACAGCAATTGCTACATTGTGTCATTGTGTATTCTTGTACTACATGTATTTCATTTTGATAATTTTTTTTAGATTCACATGTTGTTGAAAAAGCTATTGCAGAAGAAGTGGCCAAAGAGGGTGCTGTACATGAACATGGACATGGACATGAACATGAACATGAGGAAGAGTATTTACATGTATATATTGGTTTCGCACTTGTCATAGGATTCGTATTTATGTTATTGGTGGATCAGATTGGAGGGGCTCATTTGCATTCAGCACAAGGTGAGAGCTGACTAGGTTGTTAATTTATGGTAGCCTCTTCCCAGAACTAAAAATTTGACAGGTTGTGTCACTGCATACTAGTTGGGTAATTATTTTGCATTTTTCCCCATGTCTGTTTCAATTTGTATGTAATGAACAAAGACCTCTCTTGTCTTCATCAAATAATAATGATTTCTAATTACATTGCTAGAAGTTTGTTCCCCTCATTTTGATTTTCCATGGAGGCTAGATGGTGATGTGTTAAATCTGAAGTCAATTGAATTATTTCTCTGATATACATTATGTACTTTCTCTGTTTGCAGAATTTTAAAATGTAGGATTTCAGTTAGGATTGCTGCAAACTTTGACACATTTTAAACTAATTGCTGGTCACAATTAAGTAGTACAGTGACACAGTAACCTATGTCTACTGTCTTGAGAATTTATATGTTTTCCATGTTCTTTCAAGGTGACAGTGAAAACAGCAACAGGACCAGCACTGGTAGAAGTAAAATAACAGCCACACTAGGATTAGTTGTACATGCAGCAGGTCTGTAATATGTGATGGATTGCTTGATTTTGTTCTCACAAAAATTGGTAGACAAATTTCAAGAACTTGGGAGAATTTGTGTCTGTAAAAAATTCACTGATTGAACTCAGTAACAGTGATACATTTCTCTGGGATCCTTAAAGTGCCTGTGAAATGCACGCTACTTTCTCGCCTGAAATCATTTATTGGTACATCAATATTATTAATTAATTATATTTTTCTGTATTTTAAAACAATTAAAATAATTTGCTCCCATTTGCATACAGAAATACTCCTGATGACAAATGTAGGGAAACTTGCTGGACAGCTTGCATTGCCGATACGTGTAAATAAGGCACATTTCTTGTACAATTTTCTCATCTTTGAGTAAATTGCCACTCATTTACTTGTTCGTTGAGGAAGAATGAACCATAATGAAAACACAAGTTTATCAAGTTACATGTGAAATTTGTTCGTTATTGCATAACTGGTCAACGTGATCGTCATAATTATGACATATTAAAAATTACTCTGTTGAAACACATTGTCAGCCCAAGCCTGGATTCTTATTCCATAAATTATTAAGCAGATCAAGCTGCAGGTAAAGATCAGGGGGGTGAAGTCGTTATTCAACCCCAATCACCAATCAATTCACAAAATTTTAGCCGATGTAATTGAAAACAATTTCCTGTTTGGTCAACATTTTTGAGTCACTATCAAAATTATTCCAACCTCTTGCATAATACTAACTAAATGGTTTTCATAAAGCGATATTCAGGATCGCAAAAATATCAAATCATTTGAAACACTTATTCAAAAAGTGTCTCTCTCTACTGAAATCCGCCATGGTAAACATGGTTTGGTCCAGAATCTTGTTCTTTAAAAAGTGTTGCTATTGCACCAGGTTTAGGTCTTTGGTGCTTGTCTTTAAAATTTAGTTGTTCTTTCATAAATCAGGACATCTGTTCTATAAAAGAATCAAAGGTAAAATGGACACTGCATATGACTGTGTAAGTAGAAGGTCCATCCCAACGTTTTCTTGTTGCTTTCACGGCTTTCGTCCACTGACGTCGCACCTGCAGATTGTTAGGAGACATGTAAATACTTACACTGTGGCTATACGTATTACTGCACCCGCCCACAATACAATGTTTAACCATCATAAATGTTTGTTGTGAAAACCAAACAAAAAAATAGGTAAAAAAACGCTGACTGAAAAATGTTTATTGTTAAAAGTATGTTGAATGACGCAGTGGTATAAAAGTACAGCTCAAGAGTATGGCTTCCTCAAATATTTTGGCATTTGGTGGTGCACTTTAATTTCGGAAATCTGGAAATATCTCAAATTTACTTGGATACAGGTAATCATTTTCAACAACAAAATCCACAACTGTCCATTTCAGTGGAGCACAAATCTAAAATGGGAAATATGTGGGTGGGCATTTCACATACACTTTAGGACTGTGTCACATTAATATTCTCTTCTTAATTAAGTACAGAAAAATTCCATCGAGAAACTAAGGTCCACAGTGAGTGTGTCCTACCGAATATAATGCCTTTATAATAGCAAGATGGTCACATAGATATGGAATATGGTTTTTGTGATAAAATACATTAGAGACGACAGTAATATTTGATTTGCTTCTAACTGATTTGTCTATTGCTACAGCTGACGGTATTGCTATGGGTGCAGCAGCTAAGACAGCTAGACCTGATGTGGAAATGATTGTGTTTATAGCAATAATGCTTCACAAGGTAAGATTGACATGTTTTGCTTCACTGAATAGTAAAATATAGGTAACTAATTAAAAGAAAATATTGATGTTCTTCTCTTTAAAACATTAAATATTAGATAAAACAACTCATCACTTTGCTCTTCTATTGTATTGTATTATAGGCACCTGCTGCTTTTGGTTTGGTCACATTTCTATTATCTGAAAATTTTCCAAGAAATAAAATAAGATTGCATCTGTTTATCTTTGCATTAGCCGCTCCATTGGGTGCAATATTTACATACATAGGCCTGAATCAGGTGAGTGTCTTACATGTACCAGTTTCTAATATTTCCTAATCCCCAAAATACCACTGTGGATATATTAATTCCTAATATTAGTATAGGGTTAAATCATGTGTGTGTCTTGGATGTATTTACATTTAAGAAACATAAGTTTAATAAGAATTGAGGATTCCTCACCCTGCCATACATCAAATATTGATCTGCTGATGAGCAGAACAATGTACAACAATGAATGATATAATTGCAAATTTGTGTATTGACACACCAACCATTGTTTTCTTCTTGCAGGGCACAAGGGAGGCATTAGAAACGATAAATGCCACAGGCATCACTATGTTGTTTTCAGCTGGAACGTTTTTGTACGTTGCTACAGTGCATGTTTTACCCGAAATTGTTGCTATGGGACACTCGCATGATAGTACTGGTGCTGATCAAGAAAGTATTGGAGAACCAAAACCTGTTGGTTTCACAAAAATTGAATTATTTTCGTTAGTTTTAGGGTGTCTGGCTCCATTGGTCTTATCTCTCAATCATCATCACTAAAATTATCATGGATTTGCATAAAATACAGCTATTTTTGTACAGAATTGTATTTCATTATCTGAAAGATATCACAAGATGGTGGAACGTCTTTGTTGTTTGTGATGTTTTCTTGAAGACATTGATGCATCATGAAACTAGATACAAATGACAGGAAGTGATGTCACAGTTGCCAAAATGTTTTGGTATTAGACAACACATTTGTAACTTGAATAAGTTGCATTTTAAACTACCTGTATGTTAGTGTTGTGTACAAGACATAGTTTTACTGTAATATATTACATTGAGTCAAAGTGACCACCATTTAACCTGTAATGTAAATGTACTAAAATACTTATAATTCACTTTGTAGTTTAAATTGTACGATTATATACATTATATATTTTATTTGTAATCATATCAAAATCTGTTGAAAATGTATCGTTTAATTATTTTACACCAGAGTACACTATGTGTAGGCACTTTTATTTATGTGTAATGATTGATTTATTGCTGAATAAGCAATTCTATGGTGGGTACTGGGTTGGCTTAATAAAATAGTCTCTAACAAAATGTATACTTGGTATTTTATTGTAAATTCATATTTTCTTAAAATTTTATCTACATCCATTTTTTTAAATATTAAATGCTCATTCACTATGAGCTTGTTCAATGAGTGAGTTTTTGAAATTGAGGATTTTGTTATTTCTCGTTTTTGCCCTCAATTGAAATGCTGCATAGATTCTATGCTAAATCTATTCAGACAATGAGATATTACTAGCATTGTAGCTAGGCTATAGAGTGACATGACAAGTGTAGTGCTCCATAGAATCTAGACTAGATGTTTTCAGACAATGAGATATTACTAGCATCGTAGCTAGGCCATAGAGTGACATGACAAGTCGAGTGTAGTGCTGGATAGATTCTAGACTAGATGTTTTCATACAATGAGATATTACTAGCATCGTAGCTAAGCTGTAGAGTTGCATACGACGAGTGCAGTGCTGCATAGAGTACGAGACTAGACGTTTTCAGACAATGAGATATTACTCACATCGTAGCTAGGCTGTAGAGTGTTATACGACAAGTGTAGGGCTGGGTAGAGTTCTAGGCTAGATGTTTTCATACAATGAGATATTACTAGCATCGTAGCTAAGCTGTAGAGTGGCATACGACGAGTGTAGGGCTGGGTAGAGTTCTAGGCTAGATGTTTTCAGATAATGAGATATTACTCGCATCGTAGCTAAGCTGTAGAGTGGCATACGACAAGTGTAGGTCTGGGTAGAGTTCTAGGCTAGATGTTTTCAGACAATGAGATATTACTAGTATCGTAGCTAGGCTGTAGAGTGGCATACGACGAGTGTAGGGCTGGGTAGAGTTCTAGGCTAGATGTTTTCAGACAATGAGATATTACTCACATCGTAGCTAAGCT